TCACAGGATGGTGACAAGGATGATCAGGGGGCTGGAAACCAAGCCTTATGAGGAAAAGCTGAGAGAATGTGTCATATTTAGCCTTAATCCTGCAACGTGCTTGTCCCCCTCTATTCAGCACTGGTTAGGCCTCACCTTGAGTATTGTGTCCAGTTCTGGACACCACACTTCAAGAAGGATGCTAGCAAATTGGAACAAGTTCACAGGATGGTGACAAGGATGATCAGGGGGCTGGAAACCAAGCCTTATGAGGAAAAGCTGAGAGAATGTGTCATATTTAGCCTTGAGAAAAGAAGACTGAGGGGTGATACAATAGCATTTTTCAAATATTTGACAGGCTGTCATACAGAGGAGGGGCAGGATCTGTTCTCGATCATCCCAGAGTGAAGGACACGCAACAATGGGATCAAGTTAAACAAAGCCAGATTTCGGTTGAATATCAGGAAAAACCTCCTAACTATTGGAGCAGTACGACAGTGGGACCAGTTAACTTGGAACTTGGTGAGTGCTCCAACACTGGAGGCATTCAAGAAAAACTTAGATAATCACCTGGCAGATATGCTTTGATTGTATTCCTGCATTGAGTAGGGGGTTGGACTTGATGGCCTTGTAGGCACCTTCCAATTTCACTTTTCTATGATTCTATGATCATTAACAGCTCTGTTTAGACCTTGAAAATCAACAATATTTCATGTTAGGCTCTTCCCTCTTCCTACTGTCCTTTCTTCCGAGCAATATTGTCTTTTCCAGTATGTTCTGCTCAGTTGTGGCTTCCTTTATGAAGACAATCTGTCTTATGTTAGGTATTCATCTCCTCCTACTGCCTCCCTTCCCGCTTTTCTCAGAAACATTATTTTTTCTGTTCAGCTCTGTATCCTCCTTAAGTGCTCTTGTGAGAGAGCAGGCTTGATTTGACTGACCACCCATTTTTTTGCCTACTTGATTGTCTGTGGTATCTATAAGGCTCTCCTCCAACACATCTCAAATGAGTTGATGTTTTTCCTATCTTTCTTCACAGTCTTTCTTTTATATAGAGAAACATTGTGCTGCAGTGATTAAACTGTAATGATGCAGTCAAGACTCTGCTCAAGATATGAGTTCAATCCTGACGGGCTCAGGTAGCTGGCTTGAGGCTGACTGAACCTTCTATTCTTCTGCGGCTGGTAAACTGAGTACCCAGTTCACTGGGGTGGGACAAAGTGTAGCCTGTATAATTAAATTGTAAACCACCCAAAGAATGTTTTTAAGGACCATGGGATGCTGTATAAACAGCACACTTTATATAGTATGGCTGTTTTGACCTTTGATTTCCAGTGACAAATCAGCCCTCTCCCCCATATTTTATTTCAAAAGGCAATGGGATGTCTTTTCGAAAACATGCACTCAACATGTATGTAAGGCTTTTCTTCCTCAGGTTGCCAAGGAAAGTGTTTACAAATTGTAACAAAGCTTTCTAGTCTGAATTCTGCAAAGTAGGCATGGCAACATTAGTTTTCTTGAGAGATTAAAGGGTGTGTATGTTTCTCTGTTGTATGAGTTGCATTTACTCACACCTTTGCTTCACCATTTAATTCAGTCCAAAACAGCCCTTCAAAATATTTTGGCACAGAGGGACACATTCCAGCTGTTCTTACTTCTGTCCTCCCCCAGCAACCATAGTACAGATCATGTGCTCATTTTCTGAGATCCTCTAGCATGGGCTAATTCTACATGAAGGAAATTTCTGTTGGAATTTCTGTGTAGTGTTTTTTAAACTTCCACTTTCCAAAGGCAGGAAATTCAGTTCTTCAAAAAACCTCCAGTTAATGAATGTGAGATATTGTGCTTCTGTACTGACAATTCAAAATGCCAGAAAATGGCCAAAACTAGTGCACAATATGATGCCCAAGAAAAAGGATGCCAAACTTTACATAGTAAAGGGCAGTCTGAATGTTGACAATACCAATGGCAGCAGTCAGGATGGTCTCCAGGGCACCTTCTTTTGCTTACCATTCACACTTGTTGAAAAACAGCCCTTACCATTGCTTTATGTTTTTGCGAGAAGCAGTTAACTAGTGAAAAAGGGAATCAGCTTCTGGGATTTTCCCTTGTTTGGTGCCTTTTGTGGTAGTATGTAAGAAAGGTTTGACATACAAAGGATGAAAGTAAGTTTACACAAAAGAGAGAAACACAGAAGAATACAAAACTTTCATGATCCCCTCTTGTGTTAATGTGAAACATTAATGTTTTAGAGATTGTATTTTGGAAATCAATCTAAGAATACAACAATGAAGATAAAAGCCTCTTTTTATTTTGTGGTAACTGGGGAGTCCCAAACCTAGTGTTCATGCAGTCTATTGCATACTGGGTCTGCAAGACTTAAGACTGGATTGCATAAGAACACCTCCTGAGTTTACAGCAAAACTGAAATTTAAACCAAGTAATTCATACATACCTTCATCTCCAACATCTGTCCCCATCTTCCACTCTCTTCCTTTTGCCACATTTTATAACAGACATGATTCACAGTCGTGAAACAATTAATCACCTATCTTTCAGCCAACACAATGAACAGCTTCTCATGATTTTCTATAGCAGCTGCAATAATACTTTCACTTACATTCATAAGACATTCCCCTGTAGTCATTACTCTCTAACATAAATCTTACAAACAACTTGCTCCAGATTGTCATGGTCGTGCAAAAAACAAAACAAACAAAAACAAAACAAACAAAAACCACTCAACAAGATGGGATGGTTATGGGATGGTTGTCTCTGGGAGCAAAAAAACTGGACTATGTCCTTTCCTCACTTCTCTTCTTAGCAATGAATTACATGATTTCTGACACACTGAGAGACTATCAGGGAAATCTATTTTGTTTTCAGTTGTACATGCATGTTGTGAAGCAGAAATATTAGTTTTGTTTTTATGCTACATTTGGGCATTAATTCACAGAATTAAGAATTAAGCATTATCATACTTAAGCTGGCAGGAAATCTTCCTCTGCTCCAAGGTTTTGAGGTGAACATCTCTTCTAGTGGGGCAACTATACTCAGGACTAGTGGGAAATCAGTATATGAACATGGAAGACTTGCTACCAATGATTAAAGAGGAAAAAGAAAACCAAATGTTTCCCCTCCTTAGACATATAATCCAGGGAAAAGCTTTTGGGCAACGGAGATGGGTTTCTATCTTAGAATCCCAGAATTGTTGTTGAATGCTGGACCACATGAAACAAAATGTTTCAACTGTAAAGGATTTACATCTCTGTTATTCTGAAGCATGTACTTTATAAATCTAAGCTGCAAGCTACATCTGGCCTTATTTCTAAGGTTGAGAATGTGACTTATACCCTCAACAATAATTTGATTGGCATGTGGGCCTCCATAGTATTGCGTGCCAGCTTCAATGAATCTATTATTATTCTAAATTATATGTGGAAGCTTGAATTTCCAGCCATACCAAAACATGTATCAAAAATAAGCTTTTTCTCTAGAACAGCTTTACGATTACTTTTCATTTTCTTTGTCTTTTAAAATCCTCCTAAAACATTATCCAAAATATATTTAATAACACTAAACAGAACTGTAGCTCATCAGGAAAGGATGCTGGTGCTTGATTATGATTTCCATCTCATCTTTAAAACCATCAGTCAAAAAAAAAAAAAAGCAAAAAAGCAGTAGAGGTACAGTACTCAGTCAATACCTTCACTTGGAATGCCAGGCTGTTATGTTTATATATATTGTAAATAAATAATCAATATTTTCCATCTACAACAATTTCCATCTACAATTACTTTTACGCCCTAACAAAGCAGATATGCATATGTGCAGATGGACACATCATTTGGCAGAGCACATAAAAAATTGACCATATGTAAAGGTATGTCTATCGTAGACTGCCTGAAACAAACAGGATAAAACTAATTCTAGTTGAGAAAAGTACTTAGGTACGCAGAAGAAAATGAACTACTGAAAGCCTGCCCTTCACAATGACCAACTGACATAACATTTTGGACAGTTTTTAACATTGTGATGTGCATGTTCCTCTAATAAATAATCTCAAAACAGACAAAAACTTAATAGTTGTTCTGGGTTTTTCGGGCTCTTGGGCCGTGTTCTGAAGGTTGTTCTTCCTAACGTTTTTTTCCTGTGTTTTCCCAAAAATAAGACAGGGTCTTATATTAATTTTTGCTCCAAAAATATGTTAGGGCTTATTTTCAAGGGATGTTTTATTTATTTTTTCAAGTAGAACAATCGACATTTATTCAAATACAGCCATGTCATCTTCTGGTTGCTGCACAATGGTGGAGGGCAGGGTTTCACTTAACTGGGGCTTATTTTTGGGGTAGGGCTTATATTACGAGCATCCTGAAAAATCATACTAGGGCTTATTTTCAGGTTAGGTTTTATTTTCTGGAAACAGGGTATTGGGAAGAATTTCCTTGTGATGTTCACGAACAAACATAAAGTGCTTGAACCTTGAGTCTCTAAAATTTACACCTCAGAGAAGAAAGATTACACTGTAAATTAAAACCTTATAGATGAGATTTAAATTTATTGACAAAAAACAGCCCACATAAAATAAGGCTGAGAAATGAGAGAGGGACAGAGAGGTATAGAAAGCACCAGCAGAATATTTAGGTTTTACTAGTAAGATCTATGATTAAATCCCAACTTGCTCATGATTCCAGATTTATGGAATCATTTCATTTTATTCCCAAACACGAACAAGTTATTCCATATATTGTTGTTCCAAATAATGAGCCAGTGACCCAAATTCTCTTGCTTAATTATATTCATGTAGCACAAGCTGTGTAACTCTGTGAACTGCCCCAAGTTAAGAAATCACCAGATCTTAGTAGTTCTGTATTGAGTTGTATGGCATGGTGTGCACCTGCTAATGTCGGCTACTTTGGTTAATTTGCCTCCAAGGGTTATGCCATCTGTGTAGCTATGTAAGAAGATCTTGGCCAGGCTTTTGTGCATCATCACCAAAGTAACATTTCATGGATACTTACACTGTCCACTGCAAGGATTTTCGCCCAGATAAAAACCAGGAGAGGCCTTAGCTCTCGAGCAGAACTTTGAAGCAGCTTTAACACATAGGGAAAAATACCAACAGATAATGCCTGCAGGAAGGAAATTGAGAATGAACATTACCTAAAAGTGTGCAGGTGGGGGTTGAGTATATTGAACTCAATCCCCACCTGGTTCAGTTCAATATAATTAGAGTTCAATATAATTATAACAGCCTGTGAAATACCTAACAGGTGCATTTGTCTTTGGTCAACCTATAAATGAAACATGGATAAAGTTTACAAGAGCTAGGAGTAACATCTGGTTTTTTAATTCTCATTTTACTCTGGCAGTCTGTTCAATAAATCCAGCATGCTCATAAGAGGCTGTCTGAACATACACATCACATCTCTTGTTATCACCATGTCTGGCCTCAGATGGCATTGGACAAGCCGAACAACTATGGTGATTGCTATGGGCAGTTAATGTGTACTACATATAAGAATGATCCTCATCAAGCTCTATATCCTGCAGATCTTTGGCAGTCTGATTTATGTTGACCTTACGGCCACTCATCTCCTGACAGATAATGGCTATTTGTATAAACTTGCATGAGAGTATCTTCAAGTCCAGCAAGAATAAATTCATTACTCATACATGCTCACTGTGTAGTGTCTTTCGTCTTCAAAAAGATTGCTATAATATGTACCCACCAAGCTAACAGCCCAGGGTCCCAGATCTAAAAATCGTCCCAGTAAATCAAGAGCTCGCAGCCGATGCACTTGACTCAACAGCACCTGCAAAAAAGTGAGAGCAAAAAGCATGGCAAAGATTAAAACTCTCACGCAAATTTAACAAGGCAGACTGAAACATGAACACTTCAGGTTCATAGGCTTGTGAGTAGTACAGCAGTCCAGATGATACATGGGCCACTATCTAAAAACAAGAAATAATCTCTATGAATATCTCAAGAAAATAGTAAAACTAGACATTATATGTGTCACAAATGATATGGATCATATGATATATGAATTAATAATGCAGAAGTCTTTCTTGAAAAGATTTACACATTTTTATACATTATATACACATTGTAGAAACAAAGACTTAAGAACATTTGAAAGAATATCATGTATACAACATTATTTCTCTATGAATACAACATGCTAAGAAACTGAAAATAAAAGTTTCTTGTTTTCCTGTATCCCACAGAAAGCCTTCCAAAATCTTCTGAGTAGCTGGTGTTGTAAACAAAGTACTGGGCAAGACAGAGTGAAGTCCCTTGCTCAAGATCACAAATTATAAGGCAGAGACATTGTAAGAGAAAAGGCCAGAGCCCCCAAACACTTCCTTTAATTCAAACGGAACAAAGACTCACCACATCTTTCTCGACAAGGGGAACACTGGGTTCCTGTTTCGATTAAACGAAGGAAAAAGCTGGAGATACAGCAGTGGGTTCATTTTAAAAAAGGAAGGAGGTAACAACAATATTATCAGCCTCAGATATAGTGAACAGCAGGATGCTACTGAAAATGATGTGGTCCAACTAATCTAATCAGCCTTTGCTTTCATGGATGGCAATGTGTTTGAAAGAAAAGAAAAAGAAGTAGCACATTTACAATTTAATACAAACTCATTAAAGGCATGTCAAGCTATGTTAATGAGTTGATATTTCTACAGACCCAAATTTAGCCTGCCATGAAATATTACCAGTCTTTGCTATGTCTCTCTTGTCTTAACAGAAATAAAATGTTGGGCTGTAGTGCTTACTCAGTGGTTTAGAGATCAACAGCATTCTTAGCCTGGGCTTATAACTAGGCTGTGGCCACCCTTCATTTAAACAATATAGTGTTCTGATTGATTGATTGATTGATTGATTGATTGATTGATTGATTGATTTGATTTGATTTGATTTGTATCCTGCCCATCTGATCTATAGGACCACTCTAGGCAGCTTCCACCTCATTTAATGCTGACATTTTTATATCATTCATCCATACACCTTATTCTGATTTTTGCCTCCTATTGTACTCAAAAAGGTCAGAAACATAATGTTAAATTAAATGAAAAATAGTATTAAAGAACAAGGTGATCTTCACTAATAGATTTTAATATTAGAAATACGCTAAAAGAGACATTCTATATAGAGAAAATCACTTACTTAGGAAATACATAATTAGAAATAATTACCACATGACTTATGCTCTGGAAATCATTAGCTGGAGATGCTCATCAAGTACAAAGAAACAGCTCCTCAAACATCTACCTTTCCTTATCTTAATGGTCTATGCATACCTTTGAAATAATAAAATCTCCAAAACTCAAGTCTGTTATCTTATGAAAAAAATGGAACTGAAGAATCTTATATAAGATAAAATATGTTTTTATCTTATATTCTCAATTATCAAGTGAATTTTGTTAATATTAGCTGAGAGTAAGTCAGTGTTTTAAAAGGTTTCATCTCTGAGATGTCAAGACACTACCATCCATCCTTATAGTTTCCTAGGAGCCCTTTGTAAAGAGGGATTTCTACCGACAAATAATCATGCAGAACCTCTGTCCATCTGTAAGATGTTTATAAAGCACGCAAAATATATTTTGTAAAGTATATAAAATATACTTTATACTTGAATATACAGATATACAGTATCTATCTATCTATCTATCTATCTATCTATCTATCTATCTAGCTATCTAGCTAGCTAGCTAGCTAGCTAGCTAGCTAGCTAGCTAGCTATCTATCTATCTACATACATTATATATATATATAATTGCTGGGTTACTAGTAAAAATTATACGATTAGTCTGCATCATTACCGATAACAGCAAAACTGAAAGTTCAGCATCCTTCCATTGCTAAGTCATTTCAGTTATGCAACTGGGCCTCCCTCACAGCATACAGGTATGACTTCCTGTTTCTAGACACGAATGGGCTCTGTTCTAAAGATACCCACCCTGCTGGAGGCTCTGCCCAGTACCGTTTTCCTTTTTCTTTTCCTTTGTTTAATGACATTTTAAATAATTTTAGAAGAAAGAGAAGGATGGAAAATATCAAGCCTGATATTTTGGGTGGTCTTTTGGTGCTCATTTCCTTTTGCTGGTGATGACTGGCCGTTGGAAGCTTCCAATGCACTAGTGATGCTTCCCAAGTGTTTTGGGTATTACCAGAGATTGTCAAGATCTTCAAGAAGAGACCATAATCCAACTGAATACTAACACTAGCGTAAGTTCAACTGCGTACATTTCAACAGTGATTTCCTTGTAGTTAAGAAGTCAGTGCTTCTTCTTGTGACTGGTCTGTGACAGGAAATAAAACCATTGACTTCATAACTAGGGGCAATATGTGCCTGAAATATATGCCACTGAATTTTCACCATCAAATGAACTAACTCTTTGTTACAGAACATGGATGAAACTGGTGCACGAAGTCATTTAAATTTAAAGGGACTCTTTGACGTTCACCCTCGTGGCCCCTGGTTGTCTCCCCAAACACAGAGCTCACAAAGGCAAACTAAAAACCTTCTGACACGCTGCCACCAGTTGATCTCTTCATCAACTTATTTTCCTTAGCAAAGACGAAGGTCCATTCAGTACTGACTTTTTAATAGAACAGGTTTATTGATTACAGTTGGTTTCTGGAACAATTCATAAACACAATCTTCAAGATTCATCAAGCTTCAATATTAACCTTCTATAGTTATTGTCACAATTTACACTCTGACTAATCACTCCTGAAACCCCAAACTATCTTTCTCTCTCTGATTCCTAACACAGACTCTCCCAGACTCAACTTAACTGACTCGACTGACATCTCTCTCGGCACCGCCTCTTAACCACATTAACATATACCATGAATAATTCATAACTTACAATGCATATCTTAGGGTGTTCACCACATACCTCCCCCCTTAAATGTTTGTTTAGGAGGGGAAACAGATATTCCATCCCAAACAAACATGCATCATTGCATAAAAACTCTACTTACCTTCTGGTAACATTCTGCATGCAATAATAATATTTATTATAACAATCACCATATCTTATCACTCTAAACATTCCAATCCAGTTCAAACACAGACTTTACCTTTTGATTCATACTTATGACATTTAATATTACAATCCTACAGAAATATAACATAATCATGAGAATTTTACATAGATAATTAAACGGTTAATCCATTGTCCATTCAGGTTTATTCCCCCATTAGTCATTTGGCCTTCGAGGCAAGGTACCAGCATCCATGCTCTGAGTCCCTCTGATGCTGTGGAATACAAAGTCCAAGTCTCGCACATTCCCACTGTCATCTGCTAGGCACAACACCTCTCCAAATCCAGTGCTCGATGTATCAGTGATGATGGTGAACTCCCGGCTGCAGTCAGGTGTGCTGTAGACTGGTCCAGTCGTTACCGCCTCCTTCAGCTGGTCACACAACTGCTGGCACGCAGGGGTACATCTGACGCTCTCGGGCTCCTTCTTCCATGTTCTCTTTGGTTGACTAGCAGTCATCGGACCCTTTGATGTCCACTGGACGTCCTCTACTTGCTGCTTCCCAGTGAAGCCCGCTTTCTTTCTGGCATGGGGCTTCACTTTCTCAGCTGGGGAAAGGGTAGGCACTTCCCTCTCCTCCTCCCGAACATCTCTGGATGCGTCCTTCTTTTGGACGTCAGGGCTTATGCCTTCCTCCTCACTCACAAATTCACCCACAGGTACTTTTATTGCAAAGTTTTCCCTATGTGGGGGACCACTATCACAGGTCATTTGAAGATTCTCAGACGAGTTTCTTTTAAGTGCAATCTCAAATGACTGGTTTGTTTTAGATGCACTGAGCTTGTTATCTGATTCTAGTTCTTTGTCCATTGATAAGCTAGGTAGAGATTTGCCTTGCAAGGTCTGAAGGTCTATTTCAGCTGCAGAGCTACTAAACTCTATAGCCCTCCAGTGCTGGTGCAACACATCTATAGGTTCCAACCCTGCCAAAAGTAATTTACTACCCTCTATAGATCTCAGCCCCACTACTTGGTCCTCAGGGCCAAATGCTCTTTCCTGGGCCTCATACAAGCCTTTCTCCTTTCCAGGAGTACTTTCCAAACTTGGCTCTGCCACTTCTAAGGACTTTTCCCTATATAAAAGATCCTTGTCCAGGCAAGATCTCTCAGGGCATTCAGGAGACAATAAAGTAGGTGAACTGGCCACTTCAACACAACCCACCAAGCTAGTGTCCTCCTTCTGCTCCTGGGCAAAAATATTTTTATTTGGGTTTTTCTAAACCATGAGATCACCTTCTGAACAGCTGTTAAGCTGGCTATCCAAGGAACCTTCTCCCTCCAGGCTTCCCTCTGCTACAGTATCCATTTCTACTGCAGTGGGTGATTTCTGGCCCCCTTGTGAGTGTGTTAATACAAAAGCACTCTTAACATGCTTTATCAAGTCTCAACCAATTAGAAAAGCAGCCGGTATTTCCTCCTTATATTTTCCAGGGACAATTAGCTGTTGATGGGGTCCTCCCCCTCTATGAGGTGCCTTTAAATCCTCTCCATATGTCAGGTCTTTATCAGTTATAGACCTCTCAGGGTGTTCAGGGGTCAGTGGAATGGGATTCTCTTTAGGGTTTCTAATACCATCATTTAAAGTACTATCTTCCTTCTGTTCATCAATATAGGAAGTATCATTAGGATTTTTCAATATGACCTCCTCAGCCATTTCTGCTACCTCAGGGTTTTCCTCTAAACTGGAACATCCCTGGTTTGATTCAGAGATTAGGGATTCCATTTTTCCCTCAGGGATTGTTACCTGCTC